AAAGAGATCTACTCAAGAGTCCAGTGGAGGGCTACGAGGATGACTGGGGGACTGGAACACCTGCCCTATGAGGAGAGGCTGAGAGACCTGGGGCTTTTTAGTCTGGAGAAGAGAAGACTTAGGGGAGATCTAATTAATGTGTATAAATCGGTGCGGGCTGGGTGTCAGGAAGGAAGGAGCAACCTCTTCTCACGCCCTGCGATAGGACACGGGGCAATGGTCACAAGCTGGAGCACAGGAAGTTCCACCACAACATAAGGAAGAACTTCTTTACTGCAAAGGTTACAGAGCACTGAACAGGCTCCACAGGGAGGTTGTGGAATCTCCTTCCTTGGAGACAAAAGACCCATCTGGATGCATTCCTGTGTGACCTGCCCTAGACTAGATGGTCCTGCTCTGGCAGGGGGGGTGGACTCAATGATCTCTGGAGGTCCCTTCCAACCCCTAACATTCTGTGATAGCTATAGCTTTTTATCATGGTGATCTAAAATAACAGGTAAAGTAATTTCTCGTTACCTTGTTTCTTGTACTCTTTTCTTGACTTCACTGTCATGTGGCTATGGCTTATCTTTTCCCCTCTACAGGGTAATCAACAAGTGCTAATGCTCTTCAAGATACCCTTGCACAGCAGAGGTAATTTCTCAGTCTAGCAGAAGTGTGACTCAGCTACACTGACTCTCTTTTTAATGGCCAGCACGCTTTTAGGCAGGCTGTTCAATTAACTGTACAACGATATCTACAGTTTTAAATGTTGTACTGTAGTACACCTCCTGAAACAGTGCAGGCATGTGCTTTCTCTGCCCACACTGATGTATTGAGAGAAACCAGCTCATACACGTTATAAACACATCAGAGATGTGCTATAACAGTTTGCAATTAACCAGTTAGAAACACACCCAAAGCAGTCAGACTAATTCTGCATGTTCATGGACAAGTGGCTGAGACATGCACTGCAGCCATGCTGACAGAGATCAATCATCCTGTTAGGGAATCAACACACTTAACACTTTGAATACTGAAAATTACATTGTGGATGCAGAAATCACTATAAAACATTCAAATTCCTCAGTTTGCAATTAACCAGTTAGAAACACACCCAAAGCAGTCAGACTAATTCTGCATGTTCATGGACAAGTGGCTGAGACATGCACTGCAGCCATGCTGACAGAGATCAATCATCCTGTTAGGGAATCAACACACTTAACACTTTGAATACTGAAAATTACATTGTGGATGCAGAAATCACTATAAAACATTCAAATTCCTAGTGTGCCAGTGCAGTGTGATGGACTGTATATATAAAGATATTTAAAAAAAGCCAAACTTTGGGACCTTGCACTTTGGGACAGAACCCACACAGGCATTTTGCAAGCAATCCTTGATTAGGGTGTCTTAATTCTGAACAGTTCCAGTCAAGCATTAGCACTACAAACTACTAGTTTTAAATGAGTTTATAGTTTGCAACAAGATGCACTAACTTGACTTCAGTGTCAAGAAATGTCACTGAGCATCTGGGAGGCACTCACCAGCTCGGATTTTGACTGCCTGCGGTGTCAGGCGCCTGTTAATGTTGTCAATCAGCACACGCCTCTCCTCCTCTGTCAGATCTAGGCTGTCCAGGATTGCAGGGTCTCTGAGCCAAGCAAAGCAACGTTACACAAGTTACACTGAAGTGCAGTATGACACAATGTTAACTGCTGGTACTATTTCAATACTATTACTCATAATCCTAGAAAACTACGATGCAAAGTAAACAGAAATTTCTCAAAAGTCCAATGAAACACTAGAAGAAAAGGAATGCACCTCTTTTCAAAATATTTTCTGTTGGAAGCATTTAAAAACAAAGCAGACAAGTAGTTTACTGAATCTGTTCCTGGAAGGAAAACCTGATTTTAAAAATTTCTTTTTTAAAAGCAAAGGACCGACTTCTGCCTAGCTCCATTTGTATACTGTATACAGAAAAAGACTATTATCAAGTTGCCTGGTATTTCTGTTCCCTCCAAAGTGAAGACAAAACCATATCCCATCAAAGATAATCCACGATGGATCTGAGGATTTTGAATTATTTTAGCGTTTCATTCAAATGCAAGATTTTTGTCAAGTAACAAATGTAACCTATGCTCATGCCATGTTATTCTGTACTCCTTTGTAACAGTGACTGGATGACAGACAGGTACCTATCTGCTGGTGACAGCCTTGGCTAAAGAAAGGATAAGGGTTTTTTGAAATCACAAGCTAGTAGTCTAAAATCCAGTGATTACAGAGGCAAACTCCTCTGCTGTTTACCAATATAAATTAGCAGCTCATTTGAAGAAGTGGTGTCAATTCTCTCTTGCTGTATTAATTTTACCCCAAATATATCCGAAATAGAGAACATAACCAAAAAGCTCCTCATAAGAATTGTTCCTGTTCTTCAGATAATAGTTGCAGTTCTACAAAAAGTACCAGGTCACCTACAATACTAGTAGCAAGCAAACATGAATAAAATGGCCCAAAACCCAGAGGGAATATTGGAGACTGGTCTCTGCTGCTAATAAAGAGTCATCTTTCATGATTTTATATACTGATACAGTGTCTTATACAGACAGTAGAAGAGCCAAATCTAAACCAACAGAACCCAGAAATATGACAGGTTTTACCTATCAAAATATGGACCTGCACAGCAGAAGTGATTTACCAGATGTGCAAATTCTGCTTCTTCATTTACAGTCTGTCCTGTCAAATCTTTTGAGTTACTTCAAATGCACTTAGTAGGCAAACAACAAATAGGTCCTTGATGTCAAATAATTACTGACCAGAGTATAAATATACTGTTTAAATTTTGCAACAGATATCATGATGTGCAGAACTCCCAAACAATAGCCCTCACCAGTAAAAAAGGAATAGCAAGTCAAAGTCTAAGAGGGCACACTAAGCCTCCTGCAAGCACAGGAAGGCAGCAGTAGCCACATTTTTCAGCTCAGCCACTAGAGCTTTATGTAAGAGCACTACAGGAACAACTAAAAGTTGCAGTCCATTGTCAGAAATCTTAAGACATTACTGATGGAAATGTGCTTTGAGAACAGACAGTTTCAGATGTTTGTGCTCCAACCTGAAAAGCAGATGAGCAACAAATGGTATGTGTGCTCAGGAATTTTTCTGAGTTTAAGAGAAGCTTAACTACAGATTCTGTTCCTCTGTTATACAGGTGTTTAACCAAGTATTTTATCAGTTACAGAATTATCTGGAATTCCTTCTGTTGCAACGTGCCTAGATTTGCCCCTTTACCAGTAAGTTTGCTATCATTAGAAAATTACTATCCTGTGAAACAGAATACATTCAGTCTAAATGAGGATACAAGTTTTCTCTTCCCCAAAACCACAGTGGTTCTAAGCTACCAAGTGCTCTGCTTCTTGAAGTCAACACAATTTCTAGAATTTTATTACTGCCATCTAGTGTGCAACTCAAGTTCATCATTCATAGGTTTATGTGCTAATGTTGGAAATATTTACTGAGAAATCTAATTTTGGATTGCCAATTACAAGATAGAATCTTTAGAGGGAAACCAAACAGGTTAATTCTGAAGGCAAATTAAAATATCAGACTCCATAAAAAATGCAGAGCAATCTATCTCAGTGCATATTCCCTTAGCATCACAATTTCCATCTCTTTCTGTTTTTAATTCCATTTCTAAGGTTATGATTCTATTCCTGAAGTCTGGAAATGCAACAAGCTAGCTTCCTAATTCTCTGCATTTAGAAAAGAAAAACTCTGCCTGTGCAGTGGAATAATGACAGTCAACTCTGAGTAGAAACAACTCCAGATACAGAGCTAGATATTTTTGGTAACATCTTCCTGGCACTAAGAACTGGCAAATTCTGATAGACCAACCAACATCAGTGCTGCTGCTTCTGTTAGAAATGTCACAAGATCATCTGTGGCAACAGAAATCTCTCCAGTGTTTGTAATCACACGCTTCTTTCGTACTTAAAGCTTACTATTCACCAGTGCCTCAGTATTTCTCCACATCAGATTCCATTACTGCTTTTAAAACCCTGATGTACAAAGAAGGGCAGACTCAAAGATGGATACAAATAAGTCAACTTTGAGTATTCTTTCTCAAGATCGTTGGGAACTTGAAGAAAGCAGTAAGACAGAGAAACCTACAATAAGCAACTGGAAGATTGATGTCAGAATTTGCTAGGTTTACTTGACCATTCTACACACTGGCTCTGGGTAAAAAACAACCCAACCAAACCATCAAAATAAAAGAACATTATGATGGATCTATTCCAGGAAATAATTCTTTCCCATCTGAAAGGTGCCCCTGGAGGTACAAGAGAAGCCCTCACGAGACGGCGTGCTTGAAGGCATCATAGGCGCCATATCCCGGCCTCTTGTACTTGTCGTCGAACACCCAGGCGGTTCTCTGGAACAGGCTCTCCAGCTGCTCATCCTTAGTGTACTCCAACACCTCAGCAACATGGCGAAGGATGCTGTAAACCTGGAACACAAGAGGAGAGTTAAAAGAAGCCAAAACAAATACCAAGCCCAGACAAAAATCCAGAATCAAGAGCACCATTTAATGGCAAGCACTCTGCTCAGAAGCATAAGACTGCACAGTAGAAAGGGTGGAGTCAATGGCTGAAATTACCTGTGGTCATTCTTTTTCCCCATGAGTTGGCCACAGCATGTTAAAACAACGTGTATTTTTGAATTTCTGATCATTGAAATGTATCCCTTTACATCACAAATTATCAGCTTGATTAATCCAACTTGATATATTAATTAATTAAGCAGCAGCCTAACAGAGCACTCACAGATGAAGAAATTGTATTATTTGCATGGGTAAATAAGAATCAGAGCATGCCTAATAAATGAGAAGAGTATTTTCATTCTATCTTATGTCTGTGCATTTTAGTTGCTCAGGAAAGCAGCTGGAAATACACAGTGCCTGAATACAGTAAAGCAACTTACAGTCTTTGACTTTGTGAATTTGTCTTCACATTTGATTGCCTCCTCTGGAGAAACTCTTCTTTTTGACAAGTCGATATAACCTATTGGAGAAAACCAGTTTGAATGTCAGGCAATGTGCAAACTAAGTCTGATAGCTTCAAGAGAAATGTACAAAGAACAAACACTCTGGCTCAGGGTTTGCCCCTTGCCCACACTCTCCGTATGCAGCCAAAAAAACCAAAAAACAAAACCCAAACCTTATTGAAATTGATCAAATTATGATCCAAATTAAGATATTAAATTTTTCTTTCAAATCTAAATACTTACAATAGCAAATCTTTTATACAGCTTTTCTTTAAAAATACTGACTTAATGTTTTATCTGCAAACTTAGAAGAAATTGTCATAATTTTTCAGCCATCAGTGATTCACTTTTATGCTGCTTCACAGAGTTTTGGCAAAAATTGTAACAGCACACTGTCATATGCAAGTTTGATGCATATTTCTACAGTGCTTAATTCAATTTCATTCAAGGCTGGTACTCCACCAGTTTAGCTCTGAATGGTTTCCTAATGAATTAGGCCTGGGCCTCAAATTACAACTCTTAACTCCCTGGATACCCTTTTTGGAGAACTGTGAAAAAAAATCTTTTGAACCATCTCATAGTAAATTTGGAAAGGCCTCCACATACTTCTCACAAACTATAGGTTCCCTCAAAAGATTAATTAAAAGGCCACTACATGAATTCCAGATGCGTTTCTTTGTTAATACAAGAACAAAATAAATTTGTAAGAGGAAGTATTCTTCCATTAGAGATGCTGTGAAACTGGCTTCACTTCAGATCTGAAATAAGCTGCTTCTTGTCCTTCTCTCCTCTTGGTTTTTTTTTTTAATCCTGTCATCCATTACTTAATCTCAGAGTTAACTGCAGCTTTGTAAGTATTCTAGCAAAGTGTGTGACTTGAGAAACGCACCAACAGTTAGATTTCTAGAAGGTGTGCTCAGCGTTTATTTTAATTATTTCTTTGTATCTGGATATAGATTTTAAAGGTTGCATGGCACTGTATTATCAAACCCCAACATGTTCTAAATAAAAAAATATACTAAAAAAACCTTTAAAGATTCAAACATTCGGAAGATAAGAGAAGATAAAGTTACCTGTACTCTACACAATTAACATGGTATGATAATTACATGTGTGCTATTTTATAGTCAAGCTTCAAGACTTGTTAATGAACAGGATAGACTGTGAGCACTAAATGCTCACCATTTAGATCCTTAGCTCTACATAAACTGAACCTTCTTTTCTGCTATGACTTAGAAAATCTACCTGGATATCAAAAGAAATTCCACTTCACTATGGTTTGTTGACCAAACACTGAGCTGGTGAGCACTCACTTAACCAAATCCTTGCTGAAGTGATTGACCTTCATTAACCCAATTCCCAAAGGACACAGAGTAACAGAAGAATGATTCTAAACATCAGATGGCACAACGAAGGTCTATTTTTACCTTAAAAAAAGAACCCCTGGCAACCCCAGTGAACACCTAAGCTGCCAAGTTTAGCTGCATTTCTTTCTACGATTTCAACCTTAATACAGGCCCCACCACGCCCAGATACCTTTCTCTTTGTCCACCCTGATGACCACGACGCACTCGTTCCTGCCGATGCGGATGAGTTTGTTGATGGAGCGGATACGTCTGCGGGACAGCTCGCTGAGCAGGATCATCCCTTCAATGTTGTTGTACTCCAGCAGGCTGACGTAGGCTCCCATTTCGGCAATGGACCGAACGTTCACCATCACTACGTCCTCCACCTCTGGGAACTTGTGCTGGTAGAACCTACAGCTGAGTCCCGGCATTCTGGAAGGCGAGCAGAACGAAACAAAGGTTTTATTTCCCAGCAGGTCACTGCCCTCTCCTGCCAGCAGGGCGAAGAGGCCGGCAAGGACCGGCGGGGAGAGAGGGGAATGCTGGCACAAAAACTGCACGTCTGGATAAGGCTTGTGCCAGTCACACTCGGATTTTAACACAACTTTAACAGTAAGTTAACTACGGCTTTAGTATTATCACAGCCATTGGCTGTTTTTCTACTTTTTGCATGGAAGTAGATAAAGCTTGCTACCCAGACTTTATTATCCACTTCAACCATCACATATACCCATATACAGCACACTGTAGCAAAGCTGGCACCACACATCTTGCATTCATCTAAATTTGTCAGGCTACGTAAAAATTTCACATCTTATTTTAACAACAGGAGGATGTGGGAGAGAAGTCTGCAGTGCTGACAGGGTATTTATATGCACATAAGACAGCATGTCAGAGGGTGAGAAAATAAGAGGTAGAGTGAAGCTTCTGTAGCACTGAGAAAGAACAGACTCTACACTCCAGAAAATGAGTTTCTAAACTCAGCACAAGACATTTGGAATAATCCTGCAAGACCTGCTCCAGATGCCACGTGTCAGCAAAGAAAGCAAAGGTAAAAACCAGATCAGAAGATAGGATGAGCCTGACGTGAATGGAGCACTAGAAAAACTCAAGGGGGAAAAAACCCCCTGAAAACCAAAACAGGATTCTTTTGTTATACATTCCAAAAACGTACAAAATCAATGCTTCATAGTCAGGCGGCGATAAGAAGGAATGCTTAAGCTGCTTCATCTTCCCAGTGATGAACCCACGTACTCATCACTGCTAACCAGGTCAGTTCAATTCCTCTTGTCTACGGGTAGATGTTTCATACAGGAACTTTCCTACAGAAGTGGAAGCCTAAAATGCTGAGTTGAATGCATCACTCCTTCAGGTTTGTTGTAGTCACCATTTTGAAGTTCTGCTTTGATCTTCACAGCAGAGCTAATGCTTTCTAGCTATATGAGAAACTTAAAAGAGAGCCAGATGGTAATGCCAAGTGCTACGTACACGTGGCCATACAATTCAGAAGACTGTGTCCACTCTTATTTCCATCTTAGCTTTCAGAAACAGGAAATACAGACTAGCAAAGGATAATAAACACACTCCTCTAAAGGTTTCCTATAACTTTGTAAAATTGGAAGCCAAACAAGGAACGCTAAGATTAAAATTAAAAAATTCACAGTTTACTTTTCTAGTCCATCTAAAGCACTTCAGCTCAATCCTACATGTCTACTTGTGAGACACACAATAAGGCTATATTGCAAAGCAGCAAACCAAAACCACAGCAAGCAAGAAAGTACAAGCACTGCTCTGCACGCAGCACATTTTAGCCCTCTCCCCACAAGCACAAGCTTCTTATTTTGGCTCAACGCGGCGCCCATAACGCCAATGCTGAAAATCACGCTTCGAAGACGTTACAAAGGCCTCGGCAGAGGTTTAACACACACCCCC